CTAATTACTTAAAATTACTAATTACTTAAAATTACTAATTACTTAAAATTACTAATTACTTAAAATTACTAATTACTTAAAATTACTAATTACTAATACGATATGTTCTGCGGACTTAAAGTCCTTTAATTGAATTCATTTCTGGCACCTTTGGCTGTCCGAAATTCATCCAATCACATGACCAAGCGCATCTATGCTTTTCGATATTAGTTTACAACAAAATTTTTATTTGTTTAGCGTAATTTTAAATTATATACTAAAAGATATCGTTGGAACTATTTATAGCAAGAACTTGCAGCAAGAATTTTTATGTTACTTACTATATGTATTTTAAGGAATGTATCAATTAATTATTATGAATTCTGATATTTCTAGAGCTTATAAAATTCAGCATTTTATATTATAACAATTTCCTATAATAAATTTTAGATTCTTATATAATAAATTAATATCCTTTTTCGATTTTTTTTTAAAAAAATCTTATTGTATGAGGTAGGGATTCGATCCTATCTTTGACAGGCCATCCGGATTCTATTAAACCCGGATTGAATCCGTATCAGATTAGACATAAAGCTAGCTTTGGGAACACCCTTATGTCCGTTATTTAAGTTCTTTGACAAATCCGAATAAAAATCTCTGATCTGGATATTTAAATTTATCTATATTTAAGGATCAATTCAGATGGTCGGATTAAGGATCGAAACACCAATATAGGTGTCTTCAATAGGAACAGCCCATTTTTACATTTTTATTTTTATTCGATTTTTGAATAGATATACATACATTCAATAAAAAGTTTGCCGTGTATCACAAAACCTAATTATATAATATGAAGATTCTCAAAATAAACTTTAAGTTGAAAATTTTATTAAAACACCCTATATATCCAACCATTAATTTTATGAACTAAAAATTTTCTTCAAATAAAAATTGGTCTTTATAAAAAAAAAATAAAGTAAAATTTCAGTTAGAAAATTTAATGAGAAAATATAATACTATATTGTGATTTAATCGAAATTATATTTGTGAATGTCGACGTGTTTCATTTGTAAACAATTATATATTGCGTGTCGAAATCTTTTTTTTGATTCAAATTGATATAAATTGCAATTGAATTCTAAATAAGCTTACAATTTTATTTAGCACATAGATTTAGAGTTAACTCAATCAATGATTAACCAATAAGGCGAGACCAACTGGATTCTGTGTTTTACATTACCCCCTCTCCCCTCCAGAAGAGGGGAGGGAGAATTTGTGGTTTAAATAGTAAAATTTTAAAATAATTCGAATTGTTCCATGACTTATAATTTGTTACTATTGTTTGGGAGAGCGATGAGAAATTATCAGGCAATTTAGCTCCAATAGTAAACTTAAAAGAATTTATAGGTATTGTTCGATAAGACTTTTGAACACGAGGCCAGTAATTCAGGGTCTCGGTGTACGTAGATCAAGATCGGGCTCTTTCCAAGTTTGGGTTATGCACGTAATTTAAGGATATACAAATAGGGTAACTAAGGCTGACATGATAACTTTAAGATAAGTATAAACCAATAAGACGGTTCTATACTAAGTAGTTAGACGGATAGCCTTATGATAATAATGTCGTTTGGGTTTTAACAATGGTAATTGTTTAAGATAAGAGGTTAGGGTTTAGGTAGCATTTAGGGATAATTCTAGGGTAGTTAACAATACAAAAAAAAATAAAATAAAAATAAAAATAAATATAAGGATAAATTCGTTCAATGTTCAATACACAGTTTTTCCAATAAATATGAGAAGTCGATTCTTATTTTACTTCATTAAAGACATCGAAATTTTATTAAGGACAAAACTTGGGATTTAAATACATTTTTAATTTTCTATTACTACAATGTTTTTCTTATAATCTCCACCTCCTTCTTTGATTCTTTCTTACTTCCGCAGCTATGGCTATCCTTCACTACTAAGACCTTTGCTTACAATTGTACTTACTTGGCACATTTACTCTCAATTGTCAACAGTCGCTTACAATTGTTGGTGGCCAACTCACTATTACTCACATTTGCTGACAACCGTCCACAATTGTTAACCACCATTTCCCTCATATAAACAAACAAAAGATAAAAATTTTATACGAATAAAAAAAAATAAAAAAAAAATAAAAGAGATAATAAATAAAGAAACATCTAAGCCTGATTTTCATGTCATGAAACTCGTGACATACTCCCCTCCTTACTCCTGAGCTCCTGTGAAGGTCTCCAGAAGTAACTCAATTAATTCTTCAGCCTGCATTCTTTGGGTTTCTTTTACCAAGGATTAAAAGTCTTCCTCAGTCATTCTATAAAGGGTGTTAGCAAAGATGAATTTATTCTCAAGAAGATTATAAAATCCTCTATTCTGATACAACTCATAAGCTCTAGCAGCTATCCTCCAAACTTCTCTCCTTTTGTGGCCTTCAATTCTTTTCTGAAGTTCGTCCAAGGCCATCAAACTCCATGCAGCTTCTTCTGAGCTCCAAATAGCTTCTGCAGTTTCCTCTAAACACTCGCCCAGCTGATAATAGTACTGTAAAAGACTGACTTGATCTTCTTTATACAGTAGTCGAGAATCTTCTCATACATATGATTAAGTCGTTCAGTCCAAGTTTCTTGAGGTACAGGTTCAGGTGACCACGTCAAAATCTCTGTGCACTATAAATCACTGAAATAATTACTTAACTATCTTGAAAAGGGGTTGATAGTTATATCTTGGGAGAATTTTAAAGACACTAATTCTTCTTGGGTGCCAAAAAGAATATAGAGGTAGCTGTTATATGAATTTCAGCTACAGTTGTGTTTTTAAACAATTTCTTCAATTAGAAAGCGTGTTTTAAGAATTTGGAATTAACTTCTAAAAATTGTATTTTTCAGATGGTGGAAGGTTATTGTTTTAATCAAAGGTCAATTAATAGGGTTTTTATAGGACATTTAATCCAAGGTCAAAGGGGCAGGGATGTATTTTTTTAACCAGTTTCCATGAATTTATTTTTGAGAACTTTTTTGATCTTTAGAGGCTTATTATTTGGAGCAGACTTGATAGTTTTTAGCTTATAAGACCCATTTCTACAAACTTCATATTTATAGTATGGTCCTATAAACTTTGGCTCAAGCTCGATACTATATGATGTGTCTTGTGAAGTTTTATGTAACATCACCTTATCACCTATTTGGTAAGTCTTGATCTGGTATTTTTGATTATGATAAGCCTTTTGTTTATTTTGGGCTTTCTTGATATTGTCCTGGGCTTGGATTCGGGCATTTTTTAGATTACCTAGAATAGCTTCAATTCTTTGGGAGAGATATTCTTGCAATTCCCTTTCAGTGGTGGGTTCAACTAGATAAGTGGTTATAACTGTCTTAATGGGTAGAACAGTATCACGTCTATGAACTAAGAAGAAGGGTTCATATCAAGTAGTATAATAACAAGTGGTTCTATAGGTGAATAATGCTGCAGGGATAAAATTAGCCCAATTACTGGTATATTAACTAATACACTTAGCCAGTACTTCACACAGGGTCTGGTTAAACCTCTCCACCAATCAATTAGTCTGGGGGTGATAAGTAGCAGATGTTCAGTGATAGATCCTCATTTTCTTACAAAGGGCACTTACCAATACATTACAAAAGTGGGTTTCTTGATCAGAAAGCAACTCATAAGGGCTTCCATAATGACATATTATATTGTCGAAAAGAAAAGATGCATCAGCTTTCTTAAGTACATATGTCTTAGGCAATTTGGTGAGATAACTAGTAGCTACTACTATATAATAGTGGCCTTCGGGGATTGTTGAGAGTGGTTTTACAATATCGATACCCATTCTGTCAAAGGGCCAGCCAACCTTAATTGGATGGAGAGGTTCACGGGTTCTAGGCCTTTCTCTCCTTTGATATATATCACAGCCCTTTACATATTTTTTTATATCGCTTCTCATTTGTGGCTAATAATACCTAATCATTATTCAATGATAAGTCCCTTCTTTTCCAAAATGCCCTGATAGCGAGTTAGCATGCATTGCATACAATATAGGTTTTACTTCATGGGGTTTCAACACTCTCAAGGGTCTTTTGGGATCACATGGGTTAGTTTTATATAATAAATCATCTTTAACAAAAAAATGTCAGGTTCAGTATTTTAAAGTTCTTTTATTACTTCCAAAAGGTATCTTAGACCGGCTAAGATAGTTTCTAAATATTTTGTATGTTTCTAAGTTTATTTGGTTCGTTAAAATCAAAATGGAGTTTCTATAAATGGTATTAGTATAACTAATAAGAGAAAATTATTTTATAGACCTTTAAGCTAATTGTCCTAAATTCATAATAAACTATCGGCATTAAGGTGTGTTTTTCCGGACTTGTGAATAGTAGTAAATGAACATTTTTGTAAGGTCAGGATCCACCTGGCCAGTCGATTTTGGAGTAACCAGTAAGAAAATAATGATTTTAACACCAAATGGTCTGTATAAAGAGTAAAATAGAAGCTATATAAATAGGGCCTAAAATATGAAACTGCTTATACTATAGAAAGATACTCCTTTTTAGTGACCGCATAATTCTTTTCTGTAGAAGTTGGAAGTGATATGCATAAGCTACCACTCATTCCTTACCCTTCATATTTAGCTTAGACAAAATAACTCCTAAAGCTATGTCAGAGGCATTTGTGAAAAGAATAAATGGCCTTTTAAAATTTGGATAAGCCAAAATAGGAGCAACTACTAACTTGTTTTTAAGCTCTTCAAATGCCTCTTGTTGTTGGGTGGTCTATTGATAGGGTATATTTTTTTTAGTAGGATACTTAAAGGTTTCGCAATATTTATAAACCTGGGTATAAATCGTCAATAATATGATACTAGGCCTAAAAACCCTTCAATTGTCTCAGATTCTTAGGAATGGGGAATTTCTAGATGTTTTGGACTTTTTCCAGGTTTGTAGATATCTCTTGGGTGGTGCTTACAACATATCCCAAAAATTTTAGTTTCTTTTTACAAAAGAAACATTTTTGAGGTTTAACTTTCAATTTAGTTTTTCTTAATCTTTTGAAAAATTCTTTTAGATAGTCTAGGTGTTCTTTGAACAATTTAGAATAAATATTTAAATCATCGAGATACACAATAACGAATTTCTCAATAATGTCCCTTAAAATTTGGTCTATTAATCTTTGAAAAGTAGCTAGAACATTTGTAAGACCAAAAAGCATAACATTAAATTTAAAAATACCCTGTGGAAATATAAAAGCAGTCTTAGGTTTATCTTCTTCTAACATTTCAACCTGCCAGTACCCACTGGCAAGATCCAGGATGCTAAATTATGATGCCCATTTAAGAAATTCAAAAGCTCATCTACTCTTAATAAAGAGTAGCTGTCTTTAATAGTTATGATGTTAAGCTTTTGATAATCAATACAGAGGCGCATTTTCCAGACTTTTTGTTTTACTAATACTACTGAGGGCTATTGAAAGGTCTTATGATATTTTCAGCTAACATTGCTTTTATTTCTCCCATCAAGAAGTCTTTTTCTGCCAGGGAATAATGATAGAGATGCTATTTAATAGGCTATACATCTTGGATGGGAATTTTATGATGGATGGTACTTCTTTCTAATTTATTAAGGCTTCGAGTACTAAGGTCTTCGTATTTATCCAATAATAACCGAAGTTGGTCCTGTTGGGCAGCTTTGAGTTCTCCAACTTGGTATTTTACCTCTATCTGAATCTTATTCTCACAATAATAATCAATATAGGAAAAATCTCTTCACAATGATGGTACAAGGTTACTGGTCACAATTCTAGAAATTCTTTCTTTTTATCTTTGCTTTTATCTTCTAAAGGTATAGTTCCTCCTTCTATGGTCTATAATAATTCCCCTTCTTTATATGTTGTCCAACTACAAACTTTTTTATTATTACTCTTCTCTATTCCATTTTTTTCTAATATTTCTTCTATGTCTTCTTCTACCTCAGAATACGTGAATATCTGCTCTTTTAATTCTTCTTCTTTATACTCTTCATCAGAATCTTCTTCTTTATCTTCTTTATCATTTAATTCTTTAACTCTAATTAATTGTTCTCCTTCTATTGGTGCTTAGAAATTCTACAGGAATGATAATTTCTTTACTGTCCTATATAATCATCATTTCTGACTAATTCCAATTAAAGGTTGTATTGGCTTTTGCAAGCTAGTCATTACTAATAATAGCACTATAGGCAGTAGTGTCAGTTACAATAATGTCAATTGGAATTTCAACTCCTCCGATACAAAAAGAAAATCAGAGATCTCTCCTATAGCTCTTTTATTTTCCCTGTATATATTGGCCATACTTACTACAGATGGTCATTCGACTTTAATTCCTAGTTGGTGCAAAAGGATAGAAGTAGCAATACTCCCAGATGATCTGCTATCTACTATTAGCAGAATCTTTTTTCCAAAAACAGTGGCATTACAATACAGAGCCATAGACTTCAACATGGGTTGTATATTAATATTCTCTTGAGCTTTCTTCCTAACTATAGACCGTTTCTTTTGCAATGAGCAAGTTAAATCCTGCCTCATATTTGGGGAAGCTCTCAACAACTGCTCATAGTAATATTGGTTAGTTTATTCTGAATATCAGCTACTATAGAATAAGGGGTGACTAGAGAAGAGATTTGAGGCAATTCTTCTTCGAGAACTTTTCATTTTACTACAGTAATTCTTTTAGCCTTTTCTGGTGGGGTTTCCTTTTGAACAACCTCAGATTCGTTTCAGGCTTTTTGTTCTAATAATTCATATCCTTCCTCAGCTTGTGTTATTTTTTCATCATTAGGTAAAACACCTTCAGTCTCTACTAATCTGACTAAAGAAGGCTGAGTTGGTATATTCTTCTTTTTTCGAAAAAGCAGGGTGTTTACAATAGGCCTAGAACACCCATATCGATCAGCTGGTAAAAATAAAGATTCTGACCTTCCAATATTCCCAAAAACAATGGTTGTTTCATTGAATTATTAGAATTATTGTTATTGTTTATTAGAGCTAATAAAGTCTGTAAAGTGTCTTGAGAATTAGTTCCATTTACTATTGGGGCGGCCTGGACTGGAGTGGTTGGTATTGGAATTGTTTGAGGCGTAGGTGTTTGAATTGGGGGCTCATTATTATTATTAGGGGCTAATAAATTGAAACACTGACAAACTATATAGCCAGGCATCCACAATTATAACATATAACCTCTTGGGGTAGTTATTTGGAACACCAGATTGTCAAAGTCAGAAAGATCTCCTGGGTTCTTATTGTTGTATCATCATCCTATTGATAGCTTCCGTTAGCCTATTCAAAGCATTTTCAGTTCTGTTCATGTTAGAAGTTGTGGTAGTTATTGTTCCTAACATACCAGAAAGAGCATATAAAGGATGTCCCACAGCTTGACCTAAGAGAGCTATATATATAGAGCTGCTTTTGTAAGCATTTTCAAAAGCTTTAGTATGAGTGCAAGCTTCTTCCAAGATGTTAGGAGTTAGTGAAGGCACCGTAGTATAAAGTTCTGGACATAGCCCATTAATAAACATCTGAGCTTTAGCTGTATCTAAGTATTGGTGTTCTCCTGATTCTACTTGTCAGATCATTTCTTCAATTGCTGTATGATAGTTATCTATACTTTCTCTGAGTAGTTGTTTTCTTTGTGTTAGCTGCACAAACTACTTTCTTATGATAATAATGTCATTTGGGTTTTAACAATGGTAATTGTTTAAGATAAGAGGTTAGGGTTTAGGTAGCATTTAGGAATAATTCTAGGGTAGTTAACAATACAAAAAAAAGAAAATAAAAAATAAAATAAAAATAAGGATAAATTCATTCAATATTTAATACACAGTTTTTCCAATAAATATGAGAAGTCAATTCTTATTTTACTTCATTAAAGACATTGAAGTCTGAGAAAAATTTTATTAAGGACAAAACTTGGAATTTAAATATATTTTTAATTTCCTATTACTACAATATTTTTCTTATAATCTCTACCTCCTTCTTTGATTCTTTCTTACTTCTGCAGCTATGGCTAACCTTCACTATTAAGATCTTTGCTTATAATTGTACTTGCTTGGCCACATTTACTCTTAATTGTCAACAGTTGCTTACAATTGTTGATGGCCGACTCACAATTACTTACAATTGTTGACAACCATCCACAATTGTTAACCGCTATTTCTCTCATATAATCAAACAAAAGATAAAAATTTTATACAAATAAAAAAAATAAAAATAAAATAAAAAAGATAATAAATAAAGAAACATCTAAGCCCAATTTTCACGTCACGAAATTCATGACAGTATATTTATCTAAATTTTTTTATTATAAGAGAGGGGGGATGCTGGGAGTAATATAAAACACAGAATCCAGTTGGTCTTGTCTAAATTACAATCAAAATTTTAATTTAACAGTGATACTTAAATTTCAAAAATATCTTTTTTATAAATCAAACTTTCTGAATACAAGCAAATACAAAGTTCTTAAGACTTTAGAAAATAATATATATTAGTGTTCCAAGCCAATTAAGTTAGCCGCTTAGCCGGTCACTTAGCCACTTAGCTAGCTGATAGTCTAATCAGCTAGCTAATAATGGCTAATAATATTAATTACATAATTCAAGGTTTTATATAACTAAAATTTATATCATTATACGTCGAATTAAAAATTTTACATTGGATCAAAATAATTATAATGCCAGCCACTAATAAACTACCCGACATAAGATATTACTTTAACCCTAATTAAATTCAGGTTTGAAAATTTGATAGGACAAAAATTTCAATTTAACGTATAACATATATAAACTTTGGTAACAAATTTTTATT